AAAAGAAAAACTTGTTTGAAACTGATAGTAAGATAAAGAGAAGTAGCAAATGTTTAAAGAAACTCAGTCTGGAAGTTAATGATGTACCTCCCAAAAAATTAAAGATTTCCAGCCCAAATGAGATAAAAAATAACGATGAGAGTTTAATAGATAAAAACGTAAGCTTATCTATTATAAATATAGATATTAAATCGTCATATTCAATAAGTCCCAATCTGTTTGACGACAGTTTGAATCTTGACTCCCAAATGTGCGACATTCTCGAACAAAATGTTATGGATATCGCGCATTTATCGGGCTTAGAAGATTCTAAGACGTTCGCAAACGAATTGAACACAGCAAATGCGATACAGGTAAACAATGATAAAGATGTACAGAAAAAATGTACAAATCCGAATAGTGATAATGCGCAAATCTGCAAAGAAAATAAGGTGAACAGTGTAGATGCAACAAATTTACAATCGAAACACAGCGTATTGTCATGGGGCGACGATTCGTGGAATTATTCCGAAGTGTTGCTAAAGCAAATAGCTCAAGATAACGATCAAAATATCAGGAAGGAAGTATGTAAACCGGAAGTTAAAGATGTTGTAAATATAAATGCGCCCACTACGCCAAAAAAAGCGAAAACTTGTGCGCAAAGCGATAATGAAAGGGTGTATAAAACGGATGTTAAAAAATCGACTGCTGCAGTTAATAAGAAGACACTACGGAAATTTAATTTACTGAAAACAGCGGATGTGGAATCTCCCGTGGCAAACGTAATCGTGTTCAGTAACGAACGAAGAATATCAGTGGATTCAATAAAACCGATTCGGAAGATATCATTGTTAGTTCACAGCACACTGTGGAATCCCCGTTTAGCAATAACAAAAGTCGGACAAGGACGCAGTTGGAGAAAATACGTAAAATGCGTTCTCAAAAACTCACCGAAGATTTCACAACGGAAGTAAATAATTATTTAAACTCTCCTAGTGCGGAAATGCCGAGTGACTTAATGAAAGATAAAACTAAGCAGAAAGTGAAGCCAAAGTTAAAGAATATTTTAACACGAAATCTGTTATTCGCTGCAAATCACAGTGCAGACAGTATTGCGTATGATTCTAAAGACGAGGTAACGATTGATTCGAAAAATCGATCTCTAGGACGAAACAACGTGAAACAGAGTCGAATATCTGTAGCAAAAGCACGAAATCGAAAATAGAAATCACGCTGCAACCAGATAGCAAAAAAGATTTGAGTGAAACGACAGATTGGAATACGTTGAACATCGTGAAAGTTGCGAACAACAGAGCAACTTTTAATCTGTTCAAACGCGAAGTATTAAAAAAGAGATATATTGCATTGGCCTTGCATTGCGATGTATATGTGAATAGTACGAATAAAATAGGCTCGAAGATTTGTGCTTCCGACACGGGAAAACGAAAGTCCAGACGGTCGGGAAGCTATGCGCACGGAAATAAAGAAATTCGCGGTGTTGCGATATCCTGGGAAAGCAATATTGCGTATTATATCTCATTTAGCAATTCACAAGGTAACAGAAACGTTAAAACTTTTTTATTCATATTTTTTTCTAATCGCAAAGCATTACTTTTTCAGCGTCTTTTTATATTTTAATACAAACAAAGTATTATAATTGCTCCAGAATCAAAGGTTTCTGGGAAAGAACAAATAGCTCTGTTGAAAGAGTTGTTTTCCGATACATCTTTGTACATGAAATGCTTCGCGATAAAGGATATTTATAAACTCTTGTATCAATGCTGTGGAATCTCCGCCAAATGCAGATTTCTTGATCCAATAATCGCACATTGGTTGTATACCAACGATTCCGAAAGAAATTTTAATGAAATGGTAAGCTTTAGCAATATTTTATTGTGTGCAAAATAGTTCAAGAAATATTGAATTTAATAATGTAAATGTGTTCTCGACCCAATATTAATTAATCGTTTTCAACAAAAAGCTTCGTTTTTAATATTGATTATTTCGATTTATAAGTTTACATTAAAATAAATTTTAATTCCAAATTTCTTGACTTGTAATTAAAAAATATTAATCATACATAAATTGCGCTAACGTATTCGTAAAATTTTTGAATAGGTGACACAATACTTTCCCCAAGGAAATTTCATAATGAAACGTACAAATTCTTATTATAATGCGGGACCCGGGATGGATGTGCAAAGTTCTTTACCAGGCGAGTTCAGATCAGCGGCAGAAGCTGTGCTTACATGGCACATGATGGATAATGTTATGAGTAAATTAGAAGAACTTAATCCCGTTCTACTTCATACATTTAGAGGTAATAGAGATTCTATAATAGATGAACATCTTCTCCTCTCGCAGTGCACTCACCGATATTTGTGTTTACTTTCAGAAGTAGAAATGAGAATCGTAACAATTTTAGCTTGTATGGAATTATCAGGCATTGCTGTGAGTTTAAAGTCGTTACAAGAGCTATCATCAGTTATCTCAAACGAAATGCAGTCTTTGGAAACAAAAGCTTACGATTCGGCAGGTAGGAAATTTAATTTCTCATCGTCCAAGGAAGTTGGCCAGGTTCGTATAATTGAACTTAAATTGCGCTGCGTATCTTTTTCATAATATTTAAATTGTTGTATATGTTACAGGTGTTAGGGTTGTATAAAGACAAGAAAGTCAGCACAAGTAAAGCCGTTTTGGAAAAATGTGATCATCCGATATCGAACCTCGTAATTTTATGGCGGAAATTAAGTGCGACAAAAACCAAGGTATAATATATACTTTGTTCTATTTATGCATAATTTGAGAGAATATTTTTATTAGTATATAATTTATATATATTTGCAATAATATTCTGTATTTATAAAGTTTCTATACAATTACATTTTTTTTTATTTTCAGAAAAAGGTTTAATTTGTGCGAAGATGTAATAGAAAAAATCTAGATAATGTTCTTTTTATGACTAAAATTATATTTTATCTAAACATGGTTTTGCCTACAGATCGTCTATCCTTTATTAAAACTGGCTCAAGGAGACTCTCGTATTCATGGTAATTGTATCACTTGTACAGTGACAGGAAGAGTCTCGATGTACGAACCAAATTTGCAAAATGTACCAAAGGATTTTAGTTGCGCAGATAATAATTTCGTCGTAAGTGTAAGAATGGCGTTTGTGCCGTCTTTGGGTAATATAATGCTGTCCGCTGACTATTGCCAACTCGAATTGCGCCTCTTGACTCACTTTTCTCAAGATTCTGTACTATGCGAAATTATGAGGCAACAAGGTGACATCTTTAAAAGTATCGCTGCAAAATGGAATAATGTAACAGAAGAAAAGGTAATTTTTATAATGATATTAAAATATGATGAGAACATTCGTACACATTATTCTTATTTATATGTTATTTAAATGTTTAGGTAACCAATGAAATGCGTCAACGTACCAAGCAATTATGTTACGGCATGATTTATGGCATGGGAGTGAAGTCACTAGCTGAAAATCTGTGTGTAAGCGAATCCGAAGCTCAAGGCTTCTTAGAATGTTTTATGAACGCGTATCCTGGCATATATAAATGGCTAAACGATGTGCTCGAAGAAGCGCATCGTGATGGATATGTGACGACCTTACTCGGAAGACGCAGAGAGCTTCCGGATTTAAACAGTACAAAATCATCTACCAGAGGTAAATTAATTGTAATATCAAGTATTACAAATGATTTACAAGTGATTTAAAAAATTATGTATCTGT